ATATTCTCCCCCATCCCTGTAGGACTTGGGCCAGTTTCTCACTCCAGAGGATTCTACACTGTCCTCCCACACAATCACTCCCTTACCTTTCATAGAGCTCTGAAGCTCACATTGGGGAAGGAAAGTAGCTTGTTCAATCTCTCAACTAGGCAATATGGTGCCATCCTATGAATGAATTGTTGCCACTCTGAAAATCAGGCTCCTGACAGAGATGGTCAGACATTACTTGTATGTTACATACAAAAAAGATGCTTTAGTAATTAACCTTTTTTTCATTTAGGTCATAACATAAATCAAGATACGCAAACTTTCCCATGCCAAACAGGACTTCTGAGTTAAACTCTTGCAAAATGAATTTGCAAGAGTTTAACATGCCAGAACAATGAATAAAATGATAGGATTCTCCTTCACATATTTAGTACTCCCCCCCCCCTTTTGTCCTACTAACAAAGTACTTTTGTAACTGTATTTCGGATCCTTTCTCAATCAGTACTTTCAAAAAGATTTTATCTATATAGCTATACTTGAAATTCATCTTGTACAATATTAAAATTGTAATTTATTGTTTTACTAAACTTTATAAGAAACCTTTAGCTTATTTATTTAAATCATAGTGATTGGCAAAAATGTCTATTCTACAGTATATACAAGGGTCACACCCTGTTGCAGAAGGGTCTAATGTAGTCTGCTGTCTTAGAGATTTCATCTTCCCAGCAACTTTTTCCACTCTTGTGGTCTCCAGCTGTGCTAAATCAGCTGAAATCCAATGCATTTGAAGATATCAGGTTAAGAAGGTTTCTGATGAGGCCTCTTTTGCTCTAATTGCAGCAGTTCCGATGCTGCTCATCCCCCCTCAACTGAGCACTAAACGTTCAGAAAATAAAGATTAAATTTGGGAGCCAGTTACAGATTGTTTTGTGCGTTAGGGGAGAAGATCTGCAAAACTTAAAAGACATTTTAAATAAATACTAATTTCATTATATAACTTGTGAATCCTTTCCTGGAATGGAAAAAAATAGTGCTGCCTAGGTATTTGGAAATTTGCTTTTAATACAAACTGTAGTTGTTTGCTTGTTTATTTCAGGAACGAGTGAAGTCTGTATTTCATGCCAAAGAATTTGGAAAAATAATTAATTTTAGAACACCAGAAGATGCAAAGGTGAATATGAAATGCTATTACTACATAATATATTAATATCTGTTTTGAAGGAATTAACTGAATGTAATGTACAATATGTGGATAGTATTTCAGATGTTGGTGAATTGCAATTCCCATTGTTCTTTTACAGTGCTGCTTAGTGATGCTGGGAGTTGTAGATAGGTCTGAAGTGCCCAGATTGCATAATCCTGATATCAAATTTTTCCTAGTAGAAGTAGCAAGGCATGTGCGTGACATTTCTCAGAGAAGCTGTTTTCATCCAAGTGTGGCTTAACTAGGTGATTCACAGTAATGTCAACAATGAGATTCATGACATCATATGAATTGTTCAGTGCTTCTATGCTTTATTAGTTTGTACATTTCCCCCCATTTTTATTAATTAAATCACTTTTGCTTTTTTAATTTCAAGTGGATCCTCTCTAAGCTGGAAGAAAAAGTAAAGGAGAGTCAACCAAAACTATGACCAGTTGAAGAAAATAAGAACATTATTGTTGTTTTGTACTTCAAAGCATGTGACACTATTTAAATACAAAGAGATTGACACAGTAATTTTGTTTATTTAAATCAATTGTTTTTGAATCTTCTACACTATTGAGTGAAAAAGGTCAGTTTTATCAATAGGTGCAAGCAATTCTAGTGCCGAAAGCTGCTATTGAATTGTGGCTTATTTGATTTTGTATTTATAAATTATAATTGCTTAAATCTAAACTAAATTGGTTTTATTTTTTGATCTGCCACGTAATCAACAAGACCAAACATCTTAGCAGAGTCTTATGATGTAGTAATCAGGTTCTTCTCTGCTCATAACTCCTTTTGTTCAGTGTTTATTTAAAGGTAATATTGTAATGATATATCACATTAATTAATATTCACTGAAATTCAGTTTAATTCAGGAAGACTGATTCAACCAGCGGTGTTCCGATATTCTGATATTACATTGCTGACCTTGCTTTGTTGGAGAAGCTTTTTGTTTACTAATAGATATAGATATATATATGTATATAATGAGGTGATTTAATTTTTTATACAGATAAGCTTATGGTACTGTAACACCATTTTTAATAATCACATTTTTATATAATACAAAAATTAACAAAATGTTCTGGTATCGCACAATTAAGCAAATAGCTATCAAACAAAATAAGAAATGTTGTTGAATGGCAATTTAAAGTACTAGTTCATTTAGGCATGAGCTGTATTTTGGGTTTGAAGTCAAAAGCATGTTTCAGATGAATGGGGCTTATATCCCATAGGTCAGCCCTTCTTAAAGAAACTGACATTTTCTGGACTTGCAGAAGAGCTTCAGGAAAATGCATGTGTTTTTGTGCACACTCCGAAGTACTGTATTAGCTTTGAATCATAGTTTTTCACTTAAGAATGAGTTACATTTTGGATATGAAGTCACAAGCATGTTTCAGAGTGAACATGTCCTGTTGGCATCTCCTTAAAGAAGCTGTGTCTTCTTTTGGACTTGCTGAAGAACTGCAGGAAAATGCACACATGTGTTTTTGTACCCACTCTGAAGTATCATTTCAGCTTTGGATCCAAAGTGGTAACAAACCCTTGATTTTATCTAAGAACATCCCTATGATTTGGGGTGGGGATGTACAGGGAATCCATGGCTCATTACAGAATATTTAATAAAGTAATGTTAAAACTTTCATCAAAGTGCATATATACACACACATACAATATCAGGATGGGGAAAATTATTGCACAATGTTAATTTTAAGACTATGCAAATAAACACTGCCTATCCCCCCCTTTATGACAGAGGCTACTTCATAAAAGAGAAATGGAATGCAAATGCACATAAAATATATTGCCTAATACAGATTTGAATAGTTTGATGCATACAATAAATGTCTGCTGCCAGAATATTCTTTCCAGATTGTTTGAAGAATTGTGGTAGAGGAAAACTAGTCTTTGCTAGTGGTGCTTAAACTAATCAAACTGTAGCTTTGTTGTAAAAGCTGAATAAAGTAAATGGCATGCCCAGTGTGACCTTATGTGTTATGTATTTATAATATATTCTGATATGCTTTATGTAACTGCTTGAGGCAAGTACCCTAACCCCATTGCATTGTTCCAATCTTTTATTTCTTTATATAACTCCTATAAATTAAACTATCAGAAATGCCAAAGTATAATTTATATTGTGTGGCTCAAGTTTGTGATACACATCTAGGGTCTCTGACTTCACATCACACACTTGAGCATTTTCAGTCGCTGCATTAATTGTACGGTAAGGCCAACTATATAGCATCTTTAAAGATATACAATAAATACATATATAGCTTTTACATTGTTTCATTTGACCTTATTTGGATGTGGTTTTTAAATTCTCATCATATCTGCTCTGTTTATTTTAAAAGTTATCAAATAGGCACATATGCAAAATGTTTTGTTAGGTATTTAGGCTGCATTTCATTCAGTAATTCAAGGATGTTGCTGAAGGACCATAAAAGGAGAAGAAAAAATCAGCTTGGATAGAGGGGAGCAAAGAACCAAGAATACTTGTTTCACAACCAAATCTATGTTTAGGTAGAGAAATTTATTTACGGGTAGTTATGGAATTATGACCATAATTAAGCCTGGCAATTACAATTGTAAATTATGACAGTTGTAAAGTAGGTAACCAGACCCTTTTAAAAAAAATCTTTTTCATTACAATCTTTAAGCAAACACCAGGTTCATTAAGCAAATCCATTGTTTGCTGTGGATTGTTTTTTGCTGGAAATTACAAGGAAATGCTGGTTTCCCGCAGTCATGAATCATGGTCACAACTGCAGGATGCTGCAAACTGCCAAAAGTGTAGCCAGTTGCTAAGTGCTAAAAATGCAGTCACATGACTAAGGGGCAACATTTAAACTTTGAAACCTGTTTATAAGCTTTTGTGGAGTCTGTTTTAACTAAATTAAATTTAGTTAATTTAAAAATGTATGAACTGTCGGCTCTTTATAATTACCATCATGGCACAACTTTCATGCCGCTGTATAGACAGATATATTTATAGGTATTGGGAAGGTTTCTTTTCTAGATTAAACAAAAATCCTCAGAGGGAAAAATGTGACTGTGGAAATTAAATTACATAATACAGTTGATGGGTCAATAATTTTAATATACCGCCCAATCATTTTTTGCTCTTTTTTTTTAAATTAACGGAGATGCAAGCAATTATTTCAGAGGGTTTTTATCAAATGCCGTTTCGCAATAAAGCTTTACCTTACCACCACCGTCTCATAAGCAAACTTTTCTTAATTTCAACCGTTCTCTTCCTCAATTAGCACAATAACATACGTCTGCATTGAGAAGGACCGTGGATTCACACAGATCTGGCCATCGCTGATTTTCTGCCACTTTACCTTCTCCAAACAAACAAAAAATTGAGGACAGTTTGCTTAAAATGATGCCAAACTTGCAACATTACATGGTCTCCGGTCCACAGTTGTCACCTAGCGACCACCATGTTCCGGCAGCACTATAGAGGCCCCGCCAATAGAAGCAGCTTACCCTGCTTTTCCTTGAATCGCCTCTGATTGCTGCCCAAATAGTTTATCTCCCTTCCCTGCCTCATTCCCTCTGTATTGAGTGACTGAGATTGTAAAGTTTGAAAACGAAGATTGCTTTTATTGATCCAGTTGTGGGCTGCTGTAGAGTAAGTGAGCTATAAAAGATTTTGAATAGGTGAAACATTTTTCTTAAAAGGGATCAAATGGAGAATCAAAGCATTATTATTCAAGTTATAAACAATCATAGAAAGCCACTGTTTATTTAGCAAATTTATATAGCTACCCATGTCACTGAGCAGCATACAGTCAACAAATGATTAAAAACAAATATAACAATAATTTAAAAAAATTAAACACAAATAAGAGACCAAGGTTGTGGGAGAATATCAATATTCTAAGTACAGTGGGGCTATCTTACATGCTCCCTATGGGTTCCTCAAAGTTGTTGGGAAAACCATGTTTTATTACAGAGTTTTCAGAAAGCTGGAATAGGAAGAGAGCCAACCTCACTTGGGCTCGAGGACAGGAACCGCAGCAGAAAAGACTCATATTTAGGCTCCCTTCAGATGGAACTTCTTAGCAGAATGGACCCATAATGCACCCTTCCTGACAGATAGATGTAATTGGGAAGAGAGGGTCCTTCAAACAACTGCCTTTGGTTTGTTAACCTATTAATATTAATGCAAATGATATTAAAGCGTCAAAGTTTTCCATAAAAGCACCTGTCAGTTGTAGTTGCCTGTCATTAAGTAAAAAGATATACAAGCAGCCTCTTTAATATCCATCGTTTAATTGCAAGTAAAATAAGTACTCTTCAATGAAGCTCAGCTCATGGTAACTTCATGCAAATTTCAACAGGAACAGTATGTGAAGACTGTTAGTCCGTTCATCAGACCAGTTTTGGCTTTTAAAAAAAATCTAACCTGGGAGGATTAGATAATTCACACCCAAGTAATAATTAGGCTTTGATTTTGGTTTTTTTGAGCCTAAAAAGGAGCAACCAACTGCTGCCACCTGTTAAGGCTGATTTTTCACTACAAGGAGAAAAGTACCATTAAAAGCAGATTTAATAAGTAATTACTCAAATCTAAGCACACCTCTTTCTGCTAAATAATGTCTTAAACTCATTCTTGTGGCCTCGCTAGGTTTAAATGCACATCTATTATAAATTATGAAAGGATCTCTGTGATTATGACCAAAATGCTCACAAATCTCCAAAAATTTAAAAGCAGGCTATTCAAAATCTATGCCTTAAAAAGTTCTAAATTTATTCGAAGTACCCTTCCATATTCAGCAAGGACACAAATAATCTTTCTTTAAAAATCTATTAACACAGAATATAAGTAATAAATAAAATTGCGTTATAGTCAATGTATGTAGCTGGTTCCCTTTTATTCATGTCAAGTTGAATTCCTTTAGATTCCGAGTAAGGATGGTGTCTTTAACAGCTGCAAAGACAAATCGAATGTTCTCGGTGTCTGTGGCACATGTAAAGTGGGCATAGATGTCTTTGTCTGAATTCTGATCCTTATATAACTCCAGAATGAAGTCTCCAGCAGCTTTGACATCTTGTTTGGGTCCTGTTCGAAATCAAAATTGATAACTTGAGAAACCCAGATTGAGAAACCCATCCAAATATGTTTTTATATTTATTAGTTGTTCAGTAGCTAAATCATGTCTGACTCTTTGGGACTCATGGACCATAGCACACTAGGTTCTCCTTATCCTTCACTATCTCCTGAAGTTTGCCAAAATTGATGTTTGTTCCATCTAGCCCAGAGTTCCCCAATCTTTCCGGATTTGCGGACTGGCCGGGGTGGAGGGGGAGGGGATGGTTCCGTGGAGAGGCCAACAACTACATGCATGCTTGTCTGCTGCTTTCATGGCCCAGTTCTGAATGGCTCACAGCACAGTAATGGGCCGTGGCCTAGGGGGTGGGTATCCCAGCTCTAATTACCTTCTGCCATTCCCTTCTCCCGTTGCCCTCAATGTTTATTAGTGTAATCCAGTCCATTGTTTTCAAACATGCTGGATTGAACAGATGATAACTTTTTATTCTAGCATCAGTATCCATCTGTTAGGATTAGAATCTGATGATGTGTAACTTCAATTACAATAATACAAAGTATTCCAAGTAATAAAATAACACAGGAAAACCATGATAGCTGACAGGTTTTACCAAGATAGTGCCAATTGTGTAAGTGAATAGAAGAAATTGTACCCCTGCATAACAGAGATAAGCCCTATTTAGAATAATCATTTACCTCGGAACTGGGGAAAATAGTTAATTAAATGAGAATACATAATTTTCTCTTCTAAAATATCTTTTTTGTTTAAGAACAAGATGATTGAAGAATCCTGAAACCAAGGGTAGGTAATTACTGTTTTAAATAAGGCCTTGCTTTCTTCCAAACGATTCTACAAGAGAAGTATAAAAGAACAAAGAAGCATTTTTAAATAGGTTATCTTCAAAAATTAAAATACCTTCATTTAATACTCAAAACAAAATGTACTCTACCATTTTTTGCATCCTGACATACACACAAAATGTAATTAATTTGGGCAACTATATTAGCTATCAAGACAATGCCATAAACTCTGTTGCACATCTTAAAATAGACATGTGGAGATGGGAAAACTTCACTGGCCTGTGGACAGAATGTTCCTGGGAACACTGGAACTTCCTCCCCATCACCTCAGGAACACAATGATCTATTTCTTTTTGGGATAGTGCAATAGTTTTGGAGAAGTGTCCTCCCAGAAGAGGACATGTTTAATGCTGGCAGATTTCCAGAAAACTACTAGACCACCTCCAGAAGGCACAGTTGGCAAGAAAACAAGTATTCTGTCCCAGGAGTGGTGATGTTTGTGTGTGATTAATAATATGCAATCCATATGTATCCATATGTAATTCTTGCAACCAAAGAATTACTAAGATGAGCACTGATACAAGATCAAGGTGCTTCCTGATAGCAGGCCACTTCCTTGTAAATGTTTATTATGAGTGCTTTACAGTTATTGTTACAGTTACCTGTGCTGGAGTATTGCAATGGACTGTAGAATTGTGATACAGGTAGTCCTCGGTTAATGACCATTCAATAAGCTTCGAAGTCACCACAACACAGGGTGGTGGTCATGACCTTTCTCAATGTTCCTATCATCCCAGGACCACCATAGTTATGTGGCTGCGACCTAGACGCTTGGCAATCAGCTCACATTTACGATGGTTGCAGGATCCCAAGGTCACACGATCCCGATTTGCAACCCTCCCTGACAAGTTTCCCACAAGCAAAGTCAATGGGGAAGTTGGCAGGCATGGTTGTACTGTAAATTGCTCAGATTAGCCTCCTTCCACCCATGTAACATGCCCCACCCTCTGCCCTCATGACCTGCTTTGCTGGCCACCCGTAAACCATCCCCGGACCTTCATGCATCCTCCGTGAGCCTTGTTATGTTTACACACTCTCCCAACCCCTTAGACACCATCTCCGCGTCTCGCTGAGCTCATGCCGTGCCTCCCTAGCTACTTGATCACTTTCGCCTGTCAGCAGCCATCCCAAGTCTGTCCCAGTTATTCCCCCTTGCACACCTTCCATGCCTTGCTGCATTTGTGCCATACCTCCCCAGCAGCTCACTCTGACTTTCACCCGGCAGCAGCCATCCCACATTTTGTTGCACTCACTTCCCAAGCCACCTGTCTGCCTTCCAGGACATTTGCACACCTTCATGCACTCTCTCCCACTCAGCAACAGTCGTTTACCTGCCTGCTGGCCTGCTTGCAATCTACCAGAGATTTGCACATTTCTGCTGGCTTCCCTGCTGACTTTGGTTGTTAGAAGCTGTGAAGCGGAGATCACTTAACCCACAATCTTCTCTTAACAATGGCCATGGGCACTACAGGGATTGCTATCGTTAAGCAATGCAATGACATGACATTGTGCTTTATGATTCTATTGCTTAATGATGGAAATTGTGGTCCCAATTGCCCTTATAACTCAAAGTCTACCTGTACAAAATTCCTGGAGGCTGGCTCATAGTTGCTGTCTTTGGATGATGTAGATTGTAAGTTCTGAAAAATCATTAGTAGGGAGGAACAGAGAGACTGAAGGAGGAGTTAGGGGATACTCAAAGCTAATGTCAGTTGACAAATGGAAGATATTGGCAGAGGATCTTTGACCAGCTCATGCTGGTGCACCAACTGCGGCTCTAACTTGAGCAGGAGGTCTGTGTTGTAGTAACTCGGGCCTTTATCACTTTGTACATATGATTGTCTCTGAAGGTCACTTAGGAGCCTCAGATAGTGTAGATCAGGGGTGTCAAACTCAAGGCTTGAGGACTGGATCTGGTCAGAGCTTGTGAGCCCGTTTTGGCTGGCAGGGCGCTTGAGTCACCATAGGTGCTCCCGGCACAAGTAACATCAAGCTGGCCATGCCAACCCCGCCCCCTGAGGTTAAACACAACCCTGATGCTTCCCTCAATGAAATAGAGTTTGACACCTCTATGTGTTAAGCCAGCACAAGTGGCCAGGATAACATTACGCAATGCCTGATTGTTTCCAAACAGCTTTTAGAATAATTCAATATTCTGGTTTGACCTATGAATGCATTTGATGCTTAGGTACCTCCAGGACCATATCCTCCAACCAGACTTGACCCATCTGACTCATCTCAGAGGCATTGCTCTTGAGGAAGTGATCCTTCTTTGGAACAGCTTCCCTGCAGAGCTCAGCTATGTTCCCTTGATTGCTCTTTGAAGATGCTAAAAATTATACTCTTCCAGAGAACATGTCTTGATTGAGATGCCACTAGGTTTGATTTTGTGGCTGATTACAGGTAGTCCTCGTTTAAGGACCTCGTTTAAGGACCTCAAAGATTATTCAAAGTTATTGCAGACTCCAACCTCCCCAGGTTGTAATCCCTTTCTTGAAGTTATGATTGCCACATGTGCACACACACACACACGCACGCATGCACACACACATGGTCACATGATTGCATTTTGGGTGCTTGGTAACTAGCTCACATTTACGACCCCCACAGTCCTGTGATCATATTTTGCAATGTTTTTTGCCAGTTTCAGTTAGTTCCTGGCCAAAAAAAAAGCCCATTCTGAAAAATGGATTTACTAAACGATCATGTCATTCGCCTAAGAATTGTGGTGACTCATTTTATAAACTGTTGTAAAAACAGTTGTAAAATCAAATCAAGTCATATGGTGACCCACCTAACAATCACAGTGATTTACAACCAAAATTTCACACTCAATTGTGATCATTAAGTGAAGCTATTCATTTCATGTATTTATTATTAATAAACATTAATAATAAATAATAACAAACATTCGTTTATTTCCAACTATGGATGTTTTATTATTTTTGTTGAACATGAATATACCTCTGCCAGAAGTCCAAGCCAATTACACTGGTATAGTTTTTCTGTTAAGGGCATAATTGGGCAGTTATCCCTCAAGTTCCCTTTTCCCACCTAGATAACTGGTACAAATATCACCCTTCCATGGTAACTTCTGTTAAGATATACACATGAGTATTGAATAACTATTTATGACAGCAATTATTTTTCTTTTTCCTACCTCATTATGGGATTCTGCCAGGACTTGGTCATATTCACTCAATGCAACTAAAAATATAATTGAGGTCACATTGTCAAAACAGTGAATCCATTTCCTCCTTTCTGATCTTTGTCCACCAACATCTACCATTCTGTAAAAAGGAGGCATAAATCACTAATCATCCTGTAAAACACTTCACCAAGCAACAACTTTGAGGCTGCACTTTGCTAGAAAGATATATTGATTTTTGTACAATTGATTTTTACATTTTACATTTGGGAAAATTAACAGGTAAATATGTTCCACTAAAATGATGGAAAAGTTATTTCAAGTTATCTGAGCTTTATGGGTACCAATTCTATTGGATCAAATAATGTGTAACTTCATCCCATCTCTACAACTCTTCCACAACACACATTCCTAATGGCCGCTGCACTACCGGTAAAACAGAATCAGTGAAGGTGCATAGTGCAAACATCATTTTTCTAATACACTAAATAAAGTGTGTCCAAATGTGGAAGATGCTGAAATGGGCAATAGCAGCTTTCAGGAAACTCAGAAAAACAGTTCCTACTGCTACCCATACTATGGCTGTTGGGGGGGTGGGGGGACAGAAAGGGATTGCAAGACTGGCTGGGAAACTATCATGGACTACTGAAAGGAAATTCACGTGATTGCAGCAGATCAGAAGTGCAGCAGCAACTAATAGCACTAAATCAGTCATAACTTCATTCCTCAAGAATCATGGGTCTTGGATCTTGGGCACATTCTGTGAGTCCAGCTGAGGTACCTTATTCAAAAATCATTGCCTTATGACGCACTGTTTCACTCAGTTAAAGGTCAGGACAACTACAGTTTAGTTGTTTATAGATTAGGAAATATGATGTACAATGGCTCAGCAATTAAAGACACTGAGCTTGTCAGTTGGAGAGCTGAGAGCCCGGGTTCGAAACCCAAGCTCTGCACAATGGGGTGAGCTCCCATTCCTTGCTCCAGCTCCTGCCTACCTAGCAGTTTGAAAGCATGCAAATGCAAGTAGATTAATAGATATCATTTTGGTGGGAAAGTAACAGCTTTCTGTGCACCTTTGGCATATGATCATGGAAATTGTCTTTGGACAATGCTGTTTCCCTCGGCCAAGAAACTGAGATGAGTACCATTCCCTAGAGTCAGACACAACTGACAGGGAAATCTTTACCTTTAGATTAGGAAATAAGACTTTTAAATTAAGCACAGATGAACAATGGAACCAATCACAGAAGGCATACTTCTTTTCACTGAATATGATCAAACAAAGGCAGGTTAGCCTTCCACCATGGACATTTTAATTTGAACTTGATCTCCTAAATGATATTTTTTAAGTTCTGATTCTATGATTCTGAAATCTTTATTTACAGATGAAAATAGATGCAGCATAATAGCAAACAAGATTGGAGAGGATTAATCTAATCGTATGTATTTTCTTTAGTTATCCATTTACTGAAAACAATTGGTGCAATTTTGGACATATGGTCATGATGACTAAGAGAAGGCCTTAAGGATAGACTTACCGAAAAGAAACTTTTTGTAGTACAAAAGGATATTCAATTATTCCAGTGGTTGGTATTCTCACTCTAAGGACATCTTGCTCATTTGGCACAAACGATGGCATAGCAATACGTTCTAAATCTGAAAGGAAACTTCAAAATCAAAGTCACACATCTTTTTAGTTCATGCCATTAGAAAGCATTTCATGTTATTATAAATTAATCCAGGGGTCTCCAACCTTGGCAACTTTAAGCCTGGAGGACTTCAACTCCCAGAATTCTGGTTGGGGAATTCTGGGAGTTTAAGTCCTCTGGGCTTAAAGTTGCCAAGGTTGGAGATCCCTGGATTAATCCAACAGAGACTAAAAGTGATATTTCACATGAAAGCTAATATAGCAAAAACAAACAAACAAAAAGGATTGAAAATGTATTCAGAATCAGGATGCTGTTGTGGAAATCTTACTTCTTGAAGATTGCAGACAGCTGTAATGCTTCCCTATATCTGCCACTGCTCTATATCCTCCCTCTGAAGCCTATATGTTCTGAACAGCCCTGAAGGTTGGACTTCTCCGGCAGGAATGATATAAAGTGATCTGTAACTCTAATTCTCTAATTCTTTCCCATGTGTTCCCTGATGTGATCTGAAATATGTGCATCTTCGTATTACTTTATTTCTGTTTTTAAATTCAATTCCTTGTATGCATTCAGAGTTCCTTTGGGGAGCAAAGTGTGTAAGGTGAATATGATGGTGATGATGATGATGATGATGACGATGATATGATGATGATGACTTCAAAGATCAAATATCCAATTATTCTACAGCTAGCTAGATAATGTACAGGAGGAATCTGTAATATCTATTTAACTGAGAAGGACAATCTACTGGAAACATTTTATATGCATATCCCTCACACAGAAAAACAAAAATATTTATGACAGTCACCTAAAACAATGTGATCAAAATTTGGCATTACAATTATATTTTTCGATAGCAATATTTCTTTTCTAATTAAAAAAAATCAGGCTTCTGGAAATCTTATCAAAACTGGGGGTAAACTCAATGCCCTCAAAACTCTGAAAAGAGACTTAAAACCTTCAACTTTGAGCCTCCAATGATGTCGCTGGGTCAACAAGCCCACTGCAGCCCTCCAAGGACTCCCCCAAAAAGGAAAAGAAGGGGGGGTGGAGGAATTTCCAGTTCCAACCAGAGAAACACTATGTGATCCTGTCATGCATTTGTTTCAACTATGTTTTATTAACTGTTCAAGATCATAAAAACCGAACATGCACACGTAGTAAAATCTATTCATTAACATTCCATACAACAAAGCAATAAATAAGCAATAATAAATATGTTTAAAAAGCCAAAGTGAAGTTTGCAAAGATTACTATACTTACTATTTAGCTGAGTCTGACAATTGGTATTCTCTCCGTCGGTGGTAGCACTCTTGGATGCCTGGATCCTCCCATAGCCTCTTAATTGCTTCCACATATTTTCTTTCCAGGCTTTCTATTTTGTCTGCTTGTACATCTTCAATCATCCGGCTGTCATCCTGAAATGGGGAGTGGGTGGGTGGGTGGGTAGGCATAGTTATAGATTGAAAAATCAGTCTGAACAACAGAAAATATCAAACTGGAGTTCATCAATTCTATGTTAAGCAATGGGCACAAGATAATCTGTCCAATTCAGCAGCTGGAATGAAGCTTCACTTAACAAGCAATCCTTATAAGGTTGAGTGAGATAACTGTGGCAAACATGCGATTTATGGAGGACAAGGCTAAAATGTTTATTGCCTCCATAGTGTATCAATGGCTTTGAAATGTTGAAGAGAAACCACCAATATCTAAGGAGGCTGTTTGGAGATGCACATCCGGGGTTGGATTCTACCAGTTCGCACCTATTCGCTAGAACCGGTTGTTAACATTCTAAGCAGTTCGGAGAATCGGTTGTTAGAAGAAATTACTGGTCTAATCCTGTAAGGAAGGTAGGAAGGAAACATTCTGGTGTTGCTTACAGAAACTGCTTCTCCGTTAACCCTTATTACATTCTTGGCAGGACTAGACTTCCTGTCTCAGGAACTTCTCTGGAGTTTTTTCCCCCTCCTTTGCTGGTACTTTGCTTGTGTGGAGTGACCACTTAAAGTTACAATGGCACTGAAAAAAGTGACTTAGGACCATTTTTCACACTTACGCCTGTTGCAGCATCCCCACAGTCATGAGAGGCCAGGCGAGGAGATGCATGTCTCGATGTGAATGATATTGAGTTGGCCACACCCAGCCAATAACATGACCACCAAGCCATGTCCACCCAGTCACATGACCAAGTCACACCCACCACCTAAGCCACGCCCACAGAATCCCACCCCTGTGCACGTCCCTTGCTCTATTTAATGTAGATTTGAACTGCTTCAAATCTAGATATGCAATCAGAACTCTGAATGGCTGGCTCGCCCGACAACTAGGAAGACATAAATAACAGAATAACAGAGTTGGAAGGCACCTTGGAGGTCTTCTAGTCCAACAGGCAGGCAACTCTATACAGACAAATTTCAGACAAATGGTTGTCCAATCTCTTCTTAAAAACTTCCAGTGTTGGAGCCTCCACAATTTCTAGAGGCAGGTTGTTCCACTGATTACACAGTGGAAGACACTGTGTTCCACATTGATTATACAAATACCCTAATTAAAGCAGCCTTTAAAAATACTACCTATTGCTATTTTCTACAAAGTACCAAATAAATACCTATCTGTTCATTTAAAAGTTTACCTAAAGTGCAAAGTGATGAACAAAAATTCCAACTTAAATTTGGAGGTAACAATGCACCTTCTGAATTAGACATATGAGGACAAGGAAGAAAAGCATTCACCCAGGTACACCAGCTCCTGCAAGCACATAGCTCTTAGTGTATCTTAGTATAGCTCTTAAATAGACAATAGACAACAATAAGAGATTGTTATTATCTTGGGTTATTTCCCTCTCCTTTCTCAGTGCTGATCTTATAAGCACATATATAATGAGTGTCCTCCAAGTGGAAAGAAAAAATGTTAAATAAATAAGCAAGCAAGCAGTAAGACATAGTAACATTTGAATTTACTGACCCAGCAATCAGTATCCCAAATTATTTCTTGGATTTCTTTTTTTTCAAAAAAAGAAAGAAAGAAAGAAAAACAAGCAACTATGGTCTTAAAATCTGACATCTAATCCCATATGTGCAGGCATAACTTTTGGCAGTAATGTTCCATGATAGAAATGAATCTAAAATGAAAATAAATCTCGCCACTGCTAAAGTACTTGGCTTTTCCACTTACACTAGGCTAACTCTCTGATTCCTTTAGCGTTAGTCAGAATGTGACTTTGAGGAATGAAGAAATCAGGCACTTTGGAAATGTTATACAAATGACTGAGCAGCAGATCAAAACATTTGCATTTGACTATGCGAATAAAACTACCCTGAAATGCATGAAAAGCTCTAGATTTCTCACTTAAATAAAAAAAAATCATACTAGGTCTTTTGATTGCAATGCATTTACAAGTGCTACTACTAAAAATTTTGGAATTTTGAAACTTATATATTAAGATTTTGGAGCTAACTATATAAAGTAAACAGTTATTTTGTCTACTGTATAAATCGTATCATATATTAGATTATGTTTTAAATTGAACATTATTGGGGAATTAAAGATTCTGGGCAAAAAAAGTGTAAACCAAAAGTTTTGATTGGTACTAGAATTTACAAAATGATACAAAAAGCTTAAGCTTTTAAAAATTAGAGGAGAACTTTGAAGAATTAATAACTGCAGTAACAGTACCAATGTATGCTTCTATGCATAGACAATCATCCAGTGTTAATCAAGATGTCAAACAAACCTTGCTTGATGCAGAATCAAAAATATTAAAGCGTGGATTATAAACAGAGAAGGCATTTAAAATGGAAATACAGGTGACAAGTCAAGAGAATGACTCAGATAAGAACGTTTTACTGGATATTCAAAAGAAGCTGGCTGAAGTTTTAACAATTAAAAAGGAAATAAAATTGTAGTACTTGGAACTGTAAACTGCCCAGTCATTTGGTTGAGATGGGTGGCTATAAAAAAACGAATAAATAAATAAATAAATGATTAACCAAGACAATACTTTATTTGATAAAAGTTAAAATAAGGGGAGGTAAATTACAACCAGGCTTGCACAATGACATTATTGCAATTGCAACCAATTTCAATGAAGAAGACCTCTAGTCTTTCTACTGAGTCTGTTTCCAGCTCTGGTCTACCTCACAAAGTCAACACAACCATTGCTTTCAATAAAATTACTACAGGTTTTATAACTGCAGTCTTTTATTCAACAGATGGTAAAGTACATAACATAAAGCTAATTGATATATTAAAACATGTACAGAAAAATCCAAACAATTAAAAACCTTGCAGTAAAGTTAATTGTCATTTAAGATGGTTGCAGCTTACTTATAAAATCTGCCGCTTCTTTCCAGGAACATGAACTGAAATATTCTATTATAAAGTCTATTCCTATTTGAAAAGTCATACCCAAGGTGGTCACCATAGTAACTAAGCACTGCCACTTTGTCTGTGTCTGTGCTGGGCTAGATACTATGCCTGCTACCCAGTAATAACAGAAGTGCACCACAATCGGCTCTTTGATTACAGCATTTCCATGCTATTTGATGAGGGAGCAAAGTAAAAATTGTATTTGACCAAGATGTTCCTGTATATCCAAATCATACAAAGCCTGATAGAAATCTGCTTATCTAAATGGTTAATTACTGCTATCACCAGTTGAAACCAGCACACACTGAATTCCCGATAAATAAATTCTTCTTTTGCTGAAGTGATAAGCGAAGTTAACAAAACCCTACCGTTTATTTAAAGTTTTTATCCCACTTTCCCTTCCAAAACAGTGTTCAAGAGGCCTGAAAATAAAGTGGTCAAGATAACAAGCACTATCATAAGGGAAAGTAAATTAAGGTAGAAAAAAAGAAAAATATAGGCCACCTCCTTCAGCAAACAGATCAGCTCAGGTGTCAAAACGCTGCCAGTATTAACAAAACGTTTGCTTGCCAGCAGCAAACATAATAAGGAGGGAACTAGCCTGCCTGAACTTCCTTGCTAAAAAGTTCCAGCCATTAAAAACAAAGCTCTCTTTCAGCTTGCCACCACAGAGAGAAAGGGTTCCTCAAAGAGCAGCTGAAAAATCTGTCATTTCAAAATCTATGAAGTATGCCCAGGAAAGAACTGGGTACCAAGCCAACAAATGAAACACACAAGTAACCTCAGGGAATAATCTGTTTGTGGCATTCTAAGTTACTAGAAATTTGAATCCATTTTTAAAGGAACAGTGTGAACAAGTTATGATTACTAGGGCAGTGCATGCTTCAAAAACTATTCCGAAAAAGTGCACTGGGCCTCATGAAAGTGCAGTGCAGCTTTTCTGCTCATTAAAGCACACCATCTTGGTGCAAGCCCAAAAAATAAATGCAACTACCTTAAGGAATAAAGGTTATAAAAGCTTTATAAGCTCAATAAAGCTTATAAATCAGCAACATGTCCTGTTTTCACACTCAGGTAGACACCTGGGGGAAAAAAATCAGACTGCTTTTATGAAGAGCAAAATGCTGCTCTCTGCCTGACCTAATTATTTCTTCTAACCCAACTACTTCTAGATAAATTAGGAATATCTTGCCTCTCCTGAGTCACAGTTCCATGTATGCAGTTTCATCTATACCAGCCATTCATCAAATGGCTTGAATTAAGTTAGAAAAGAAGTACAAAATATTTGATTTTAGTCTCCTTTTTATTATGTTGCTATAAATGTTAGCACATTGCATTGTTTCCAAAATGAAGTCAAATTTGATGGCTGTTTTGGATAAGACAAAGAACTCTATGGATAAACATATAAGGAATTATTATTGTGCTGTTACAAGTGTGTTGGCTGGAGATATGAATATATGTGTACTTTTGCATGCAGGCAATGTTGTTTTCATGCCAGAATGATTTGCAGCAAATTGTAAAGTAAGTACAGTTCAATGAGGGGAATAGATCAGAAAAATAATATTCAGGGATTGGAAGATAATTGGAAAATGAGGTTGGATGCAATTGATAAAATCCTCAAAAAATGCAAGCCCCATGAGGTTTAAAGAACAGAAGGGAAATGTATGGGGTGGAAATTAGAAAGGGAATAACGTGCATGTGTGTCTATCCAGTATGTATGTACGGTATACATTTTCCCATAAACTAATCTGAGAAAATAAACATCTGTAACCCTTCCAATTTTTGATGGAATAATTCCAAAGTCAGTGCTTTAGAGCTACACTGGAGGCTTTTGCTTGTTCAAATATCTGTAATTTTTTTTCCACAGGAAATAATTCCAAGGAAATAAAGCCAAATTAGTGAGCGCCGGTAGGAAAGACTAGGCTATAATGACTGCCAAGTTTTCTGCATCCTGCGGAAATATATCACAAGGTTTTTGATGTAGGAGAAAAGTGGAGGATGGAATGGAATGTATGCCATTTGGAACTCCTGTACGAAGCACCAAAGATAA